ATTTGTCAGCAAAGTAATTTTGCGCACGCTCAACCTGGTTCAAAACCAAGTGAGAATGACCTTTTTAATGTTTCATTTTACCTTGCAGTTCAAATGCTGTCGGAATTTAGGTTGACGCATGTTACTATGCGGGATATTTGAGCAACTGGGAAGTGGGAAAAACTTACTTTTGAAACTTAAAATAGACAGGGCGTCACATGCAGAGGATTTTAGATTTGAATTGATCTACATCAAAAGAATCTGTATTGATGCAGAGCTCTTGTACTTGGGACCTTTGCGACGGTGATCGGCAACAAATCAGACGAGAGGTGATGTTACATGCAACACACTGGAAGGTCATGCACTCGTAGTGGCAATCTTTGCGAATTTACCGATATCTCAAAAAAGGAAACTTGTGAGTTTCTATGCGACCCGAGATGACTCGCCTTTTCAGGCGCCTGGCTGGCGCCATTCCTGCTGCTGGCCACGCTGGGAGGCGCCTGTGTGCCCACTGACCTGGACATGAAGCTGCTGAAGGAGGTGACGTCGGGCCCGGTGGCCAACCACGTGATCTCACCGTTCCTGATGTCGCTGCTGATGTCGCAGGTCTGGCTGGGCGCCAGAGGTGCCACTAGAGCCGAGGTGAGAGCCCAGTTGGCTGATTTTCATTAAGACCTACCATCAACACTGGCTCCGGGCACATGTGCCAATCCGGAACCAGTGCAGACAACACCAGCTTTTGGCACATCTGCCAACCGAGAACCCGTGCAGATGCCACCAGCCCCGGGCACATGTGCCAGCCCGAAACCTGTGCATATGCCACCAGACCCGGTCGTATGCGTCAACATATCGCAGGACATACAGCGTGACCCACCGCACTGTGATCTTTATTGATTAAATGCGGAGGAGAGATATGACAACGTTTGCTTGTGTGCTGCACCCAGATGACGCCTGTGCTGGGAATGTCCGGCCCAAAAGACACATCGTTCCTCCATGGCTACCGCTCGGCCTTGGCGGTCCTGTCTGGAGCCAGCAATGGCGTCACGACATCAGTGTACAACAGGATCTATCGCAAGCACAGCTTCAGTGTGCGCCGCACTTTCAGCGACCTTTTAGCGCGCTACTATGGAGCCGGGGTGGAGGTGCTACCAAGAGACGCCGGGAAGGCCGCTGAGGTCATCAACAACCAGGCGTCGGTGGCAACGCGCGGACACATCAAGGACCTGGTGACAAGTGCCGACGTCAGCAACGCCGTACTGGTGCTCTTCAGCGCCGTGTATTTCAAAGGCACCTGGCTTTATCGCTTTGACAAGGGCGGACAGAAGCCGTTTTTGACACCGCGCGGCGATCGGCCGACAAACATGATGAAGTTGAAAGCGGAGCTTGGTTACACCAGCCGACCTCACTTCGATGTAGTGTCGTTGCCGTACCAAAACAAAGATTACAGTTTGTTAGTGCTGCGCCCGCACAGTCGCTCGCTGGCTGCCGTTGCCAGGCTGCAGAAGTCTCTGGACGGTCTGGACGTGTCCCGGTTATACAGCCAACTGAGTCAGCGGTTAGTCCGTGTACTGATGCCGCCCTTCAAGATCGAGCGTCGCTATGAGCTGCCCGCCAACATGCGAAACCTAGGCATCCGGAGGATTTTCCAAGCGCGGGCGGAGTTCGGCGGTATCACGTCGCGAAACATCTTTGTCAGCAACATCATCCACAAGGCGGTAATAGATGTGAACGAGAATGGTACAACGGCTGCGGCAGCTGGAGTGGTCATATTCAGAGAATCGGTGCCCATTATCGTGAACTTCACTGCAGACAGACCATGTTTTGTCTTCCTTTACCACAAGCGTGAAAAAATCACCTTGTTTGCTGGATTGGTGGCTAATCCTTGAGGGCATATCATGCGCATTGGGTCGGCTCTTGTGCCGTAATCATCCGTCATTTTGTTTTATTTTTAACGTCCAGCAGTAACCACGGGTTCTTGTTTCCGTTCCGGTTGCATATTTCCATAAGTGCGAGTTTTGGTGTTGGTTTGAGTGGACGCGCAGAAAATGCATGGACGTCAAATAAGGTGCTAATAAAAGAAGCCTATTGAGTGGGTTATTTGTGTACAAGAAAGCCGACTCCATGAGGATTGAACTTCTCTCGTTGACACATGTTTTCGAAATTTTCCAAGTTGTACTTGACTCCATAGTTCCACGCGTATTTGGCTCTCGCGAAATAGTCTCCTTTCAGATGCAGTGAATGCGCGTCACTATGCTCTTTTGTGGCAGAACATACTCTACCTGTCATTGAGGTAACAATGTCTTGTCATTATTGGTCTTTTATCATCCACGACGTCGGGGATTAACACCCTCGAAACACATTGCCCAATGATCCCATCATTTGACAACGCTACTGCGGATTACGCACCTGCGACGATAAACAGCGCACTCACCTGAGAAACGTATAATGCAAGGTCACGATTGATGAGGTATTCCCTTTCTTGAAGTACATTTCATCAAAATTAGGCTGACCTGTGACCGATATCGCGATCAATGCGAGTGCGTGGTAAAAGCAAGCTCAAGCTCCGACAATATTTTGTGATGATCACGCTTAACCATTGAATTGATCTTTTTGTATCCACAATGAAGGTCTGAGGGATCAGCAGCAGTCCTAGCTTCAATGTATTGCTCCACACTTGAAGATATGGAAGCAGACACCAGAACTTTTGCTATACTTTAATAAGAGAAGAGCCGTCTAGACAGCAACACTTTTCGATTTAGCAACTGTGATCTTCGATATTCCATTCTTTGATTGCGTCACGGAAAGTTTGTATGACGTTAAAGGTGTTGCTAAACTGGCCGCACGAAATGGTTACCCTAGCACTCACTCGTGGGTCTCCAACTCGCTGAGAGATGACAGTGACGCTGCTGGACGTGCCTGCTGGAATAGATATCGTCAGGGGCTTGCCTTTTGCTCAGGGCCTTTGCCTTGCTCAGGGGCTTTTCTCGTATTTGCATATTTGTCCGTGAGTTTAAGGCGTTTGCTGTATTCACATGCTCGGTTGTGGCACTATTTTTGAGTTTTCGCTATTACGACGATTACAGGTGTTATTTCCGTTATGTCCAGTACCCATGTCCAGCTTCTTGTGGCATGTAACACACAATGTGGTTCTTGTTTGAATTTTGCACTGCCTACACAGCGATGATCAAGAGGCAGTTCAAGTCTGTTGCATCTGGAAACTGTGCTCACGAACGCCAGACATGAACAACTTGACGACTATATTGTTCATGGCCTTGAACGCCGCATGTCTGATGCAGTCTCCACCGAAGCACCTTGGTAGCAAAACCTCTCCAAAGCGTACGTTTCCCATTCGCCCATAGGGTTCACCTGTTAAAGGCCTGCTTTTCACAGAGCTGTGTATCGATTTCTGTTAGGCCAATTTTGATGGACTTGGCACCAGATGAAAACGTGTTTGATTGTTTTGGGCCGATCCGTGCACCAATTTTTTTTGTCTGAAAAGCCAAACTCGCACGGCGTACCGGGTCAAAGTCTTCTTGCACGGTACGTCGTGAAGACTTCCGCGGTTAATCCACTGGTCTCAGTGGCTCGACCAGTAACTTGCTGGATTTATAAGCACAGTTCTACAGTAGGCTCAAAGCCGAGCGTTCCGAGGTTTTCTACATGTTCCTTATAAAAATGCTGAATTTGTTGCTATCAACCAAAACGCATTGTCAATGCTATTAAGTGTATAGCTCCGTGAAGGCTTCTTCCAAACTTACGGGCGCAGCATTCATTGAAATGTTAAATGCCTTCACTATTGTGGAACCAGCGCAACGCTACCTTCATTTACTGGCTGCGAAATATTCAGTACGAACAAGAGATGTAGCATATATCGCAGATTTAGAGCATTTCTAGATTGATATTGCTGGTTTTTTTCAAACCGAACTTTGTTCTACCCGGTATATATTTCCATGATCTAATGGGCGACAATGTTCGAATGTTGTTTGTGTGCCCTGGTACATGTCCAAGTGACCTTGACATGATCTGCGCAAAATAATCCGTGCTTCTTTGCGGGCGTATAGATCATAACCTTAAGGTCTTTAAAGCCTTAAAATGGGAGGGCAGTGGACTGTACCGAATAATCTTAACTCTTTGAACTAAATAGGAAGTACAGTAGTGGCCATGATGCTTAAGCCACGGTTGTACGCTACTTATTCTCTACTGGACACTAGGGTGTGTCATCAATAACAAAAACCAAGTGGAACAAAAAATTGGCACAGGAGTTCAAAAGTATACGATATAGGAAAAGTTCTTCCCAAAAACTTGAATTCGTGATGCGCGAGCCGATCGAAATATCGCCTTAAACCGACGTCCGGCGTTGCAGTCACCCTATGCTGGGCGGCGTCCGCCGCCGCGGGTAACGCCAAGCCGTGAACGGCAAGCGACACAAAATATTTGCTATGGAAACGATGTTACCCAGCGCTCCTTAAGCCGTCGTACAAGAATGTCCCGGTCTATGGTCTAATATGCGAATCAGACATGGCCCGATTGATCGCCATATGGCGGAAAAATTACGTGCTGTTGAGTATAAACTTGTACGAGTATGTTGGTTACTATTGCATTAGACTTTCACTTCTCTAAGACAACTCACGTGATGCAAACCAAACCATGCATAGCATATGACCCAGAATATATTGTCTGATGTGCAACTTAATACATATACCAAGCTCTGCAGCCTGTACCACGCGCGTAGAGAAGGAGCGGGAGGTAGGGTAACTTCATGCACAGCTTGCTCCTTGCCGAGCATGCGTATTCGATGCACCGGCCCAAAAAGCAGCTGCTCACAGGCCGGAATCCCAAAACGCGTGTTGGCGAAGATCTCGCGGTAGCAGAAATGTCGTCCCGGCTGTGCTCCACATATTGCCGAAGCTCCAGCTCCAGCCCCAGACGTCGTCGGCAGGGCGGCGCTGGTCGCACTCCTAGTGTGAACCCGATAGGGTGAGACAGCCAGCGGGGCCTGCACTTCGCTCCGTCGCTTACAGTCACTGAATCTCGCAGTGGAGGCTGTGCGACTGGCTCACGCCAGGGTATCGGTTAGGAGTACCTCACGGACTCAAAATTTATCGCTGGGATGGCGAAGACCATGGAATGAAGAAGACCCTCGGTTTGCTGTTCACGAGCGGCGCGATAATCGGAGGCGCCTGTTCGCGGACCATGCGGTTTTGATCCCACACCATGTCCAGCAGCAGCTGTACCAGACGGACCCAGTACCCGTTACGCTGGAGGACTGCCTGCACCGTGGCCTATGCGTGCCGCGGTAGCTCGCGGAGCAGCTCGGTACTCCGGTACAAGTTGTGTAAGCCAAAGTCGCAGCTGCTGTTCTGCCGGATGGCGGACCATACAAGCACATAGTGGCCGACCACGCACTAGACGAGGCCCTGGAGAGCGCTTCTAGAGGTCTCAGTAGAGATGTAAACTAGGAACTGGCCTGCGATCAGTGTCAACCAGCTGAAAACATAAGTGAATACATTAGAGCAACTCATTACGCACTGAGCATTAGATAACACAAAAATAATTGCGCCTCTTTAGTGCATGCAATTATGCCGATATCCAGAGTCCTTAAGTGTGACTCTGACATTGCGACATACATATTCAACGCCATAACTTGGAGGACAAATGCGTTTTCATATTAACCTGACATGGTTCGATGGCCTGATTCGCCGCTGGGTTGCCACGTCTCGGACAGAGCCGTTCTGAACGCCGGAGGCCAGAAGGTACAGCAGCTGCCAGTTTGTGCTCAGCTGTTGAATCAAGTCGACCGGAAGGTTTGGAACGTGCTCCGGCATAGGCTTGAATACCACAAGGTCCCTCTCCCCGACCTCCTAGGCGCAGGTCTTGCCGATGGGTCCAGAAAAAAATTCGATCCCGTGGTCGTGCCGTCCAAGCTCAGCAGCAGATGGAGCAGGTTCACCTCGTTGCGGTGCAACTGGTGGATGAAACAGTGTACTGGTGACTCGATGACCAGCTCAAACAGTCGGAACACGCCTATCGTCTCGGTGTTGACGGCCGTGCCATCGCAGCCGAGCACATTGATGTGGCCGTCACACTGCGGGCTCATGGAGTGTAGCTCATTGAGAAAGTGCAGGGCCCGGCCGAATTCGAACGTAAAATGAGTCACATAGCTGCTGCCTGGCCCAGCGATACCAAGCAGGTGTTTTTCAACGGCATTCGCACGGCTCCGTGTGACTCATTTACCCCTGCCTCCGAGGCCGTCGAAGCAGAGAATGGTCAAACCTGATTAATGGATTGTTTCCAGCGTTTTGACGAGCCGTTTCTTTTCTCGCTCTCCCTCCCTCTCTTTCTCTCCCTCTCTCACTCACTCACTAACTCACTCACTCACTCACTCACTCACTCACTCACTCACTCACTCACTCACTCACTCTCTCTCCCTCTCTCTCTCTCCCTCCCCCCCCTCTCTCTCTCTCTCTCTCTCTCTCTCTCTCTCTCTCTCTCTCTCTTGCGCAGCAGGTCTTCTTAGCATCTATGATATTGGATTTCAAGTAGCCAGTCCGTCTCTGCTGTCTTGTTGAAAGGCGTTGATGATAGCAACAGCGGCCCTGTTCGAGTCACCGTAGCTGTCATCCGCCAGAGCGGTGCTAGTCAGATCGTTAACGTTACAATCTACAGTGACAGCGGTCTCAACCGGCACTAACACCTCACCTCAAAGAATACCGATAGTCATAAGTGAGCATGATTTATCATCCCTGATGATTGCTTTACCATTTTCAAATGTGAAACATTCTCTTTGAAGGGGATATTTCCCTTTCCTTTCTTATGCTATCCTTTCCTTTCCTATCTGCGTTATCTGCCCTCTGCCTTTGAAGGCGATATTCTGCATTTGAAGATCTGAAGCAGGAATGATATATAATAAAAACGCTTAATTATAATCATTGATGCACATTTAGCTCCTGCATGGCTCAGCCTGAGCCCGGTGGAAACGCTAAATTCTGCAGCCTGGACTGAACAAGGGTGCATTCCTCGCGATGGATCGGGGCTCCACGAACAGGCACCCATGTCCTCGCCCTCGGGTTCGACACACGCGCCAGAATCATGCGCGTAAGCCCAACGGTTACCTAAACAGTGCCCGTAAGCCCAACGGTTACCCAAACTGTGCGTGCGTGCCACCTAGTGAAAACAATTAAAATCAGAAGTCAGTGACCCGGCCACACTCGGTACAACTAGATGGCTTAACCAACACAAGGTAGTGTCACCTAGCGGGTGAACAGAGAGCGACAGTTCAGGCGAGAACCATCCGATATGAGCGGACACCTCCAAAGATTCTTGGTGATGCACCATCAATGCAGGCCGTCGTAGAAGGGTATACATTCCTATAGATAATGGGCTCCACTCCTAGCAAACGTTTCGGCACTTGGCAGCTCGTTTGTCAAAATTCAGAGCAATGCTTCACATTTGGAAGCATTAAAGCACGCATCAGATGTGATAAAATATCCTCGCTAAAAACTTTTGTATTGCATGTAGAGTGTTAAGTAAAAAAGACTGTTCTAGAGCACAACTTTCTCTTTTTTAGTAAATAAGTCCCTCAATACACCATTGTTTGATGGTGTCACGGAGCTTTTGTATGACAAACTGGCCGTGCCAATTTGCCACCTTTGCACCCACGTGCAACACTTCAATCCCCGGAGAGGTGACCGTGCCGGTGCCGGAGATGTTTTCTGAACCAAGATTATGTGCTCGTGTTTTGGCCCTTCCTAGTGGTGCTCTTGCATATTTTGCCATGACTGTGAGGTGTCTATTTGCAATTATATAATCAGTTATGGCGATATTGTAAAGTTTTTCGAATGCAAACTCACTCCCAGAAAAGTCCACTAATAAGTCAAAAAAGTTCACGTCTGTAAAAGTCACTTACGTCCAAATTCTAACATTATGTGGGACAAAACTTGCTTCGTGACTGCACACTGCCCAGCCTGCTCAACACCGATTAAGAACCAAGTGACATCCGTTTCGACCAACAGTCCTGCTTACGAACGCCAGATATAAACGGCTGGACGATTACATTTTTTTCCTTGAACGCCACGTGACCAATAGGGTGGCATGATTTGAATCACGTTTTTATCGAGTCATGCATGCCTGAATGACTTAAAAATGGTCTGCACGAAAAGGCCTGCACATCTTCGCGGGCGTATAGCTCAGAAAGTAACGGACTCGTGTTCGACTCGAGCTGAATCATGACTCGGCTTAACAGCCAATCGGTTTAAGCTGGGTCGTGAGCTGAGTCAGCTCACTTTGAAAAATACCGCTCTGAATCATAAGCTGAATCAAAGTCTTCATAATGCGCTGAATCATGAGCCGATCATTTGTAACAATGCTGGGTCTCTGAATCATATGGGTCTAATGTAAATGCCAACATGAGGAAGCACAGCACGCCCCAGACAGATTATCAGACCATTTGCAGGGTGGTTACGTGAAAAGCATGAGACATTAGTTATGAAAGCTTTTTTTGCCAAATCGGCGCGAAGTTTGTTCAGATTCAACAACGCATTGTGTTTGCTACATATAAAGTTCCCCAAATCCCAGCCAGACACCAGGGGACATGGTACAGGTATCCTACATTCCTATGTCCTTTACTAAAATGAGTGAAAGATTGCCTGCTTCGTATGGAATCTGACGGGTGGCTATATTTTTCATGGCCAACTGTCCCGACGATGATACAATCCATGTGCGGATTGTGCTATGTGCGGATAATCATGTGCGGGTTGTATGTCACGGAATGTAACCTAACAGGCATTGCATCAAGAACTACATTCACGCAACATGCAACCTGCAAGTAAGAGGTTGGCCCCTAAATGTATTGGTCATGGAATGTGGGTAAAGTGGCGCGGAACACTCTAATGTCTACGCGTTGCCGAAACCTGTTTTTAGTACCAATTCATCATAGAGTGACCTCATGGGATAAGCTTAAGGCACCCCACCGGAAACGATAGAAGGCACACACGTTAGCTTAGTTAGTCACACAGCCTCCACTGCGAGATCCAGCGACTGTAAGCGACGGAGCGAAGTGCAGGCCCCGCTGGCTGTCTCACCCTATCGGGTTCACACTAGGAGTGCGACCAGCGCCGCAGAAGTGAAAACTTGAGAATACCGCCATAACTGAGCATGCGAATTCATCAAACGCCTTAAACTCACGGACAAATATGCAAAAACGAGAAAAGCCAAAACGCGAACCCCTAGCGATATTTACTCGAGCAAACACTTCCAGTACCGCCACTGTCAATCTCTCGGCGAGTTGGAGACCTACGAGCGAGTACTAGGGTGATCATTTTGTGCGATAAGTGTGGAAGCACTTGTAGCGTCACACGTATTTTAAACGACGCAATCGAAAGAATGACATGTTTAAGACCAAATTTACTAAATCGACGAAAATTGCTGTCTAGAGCGGTCTTTTATGCTTAAAGTATAGCAAGAGTTCAGATGTATGCCTTGATATCTTCAAGTGTGGAACATTACCTTGAAGCTAGGGCTGTTGCTGATTTATGAGACCGGCATTATGGTTACAAAAAGATGATAAGATGATAAAATGCCAATAATGATAGGTTTGTGGCGCAGTTGTGCTTTGTGTCCTGCGCCCCTGCTGGGGCGGGGGTGCAGCGGGGTCGCGCCGCCGCCGCGGTGGTGGGTGTCGGGTTCCCAGGGCGGCCCCCACTCGCGGCCCCCGGCGGTCGGCACGGTTCGCGGGCCGCCCCCGCTCGCGGCCCCCGGCGGTCGGCAGGGTTCGCAGGGCGGCCCGGCTCGTGGCCCCGGCGGTCGGCAGGGTTCGCGGGCTGCCCCCGCTCGCGGCCCCCGGCCGTCGGCAGGGTTCGCAGGGCGGCCCCGGGTCATGGCCCCGGCGGTCGGCAGGGTTCGCGGGCTGCCCCCGCTCGCGGCCCCCGGCGGTCGGCAGTCGCCGTACGCCGACAAGGGAGGGCAGAGGCACTTCGAGGAGATGCTGTGGAGCGTGAGGAGCTGCTAAAATACAGAGAAGCTTTGGGTGACATACTTGGCGTTTCATTACATGATAAGAAATTGTTATCTCAATGACAGGTAGAGTACTTTCTGCCAAAAAAGAGCATAGTGACGCGCATTCAGTGCACCCGGGAGCAGACTATTTCGAAAGAGCAGAATACGCGTAAAACGATGGAGCAAAGTACCACTTGGATAATTTCGAAATCATGCGTCAACGAGAGACTTTCAGCCCTCATGGAGCCGGCCTTCTGGTACACATATAACCCGCTCAATAGGCTTCATTTATTAGCAGCTCAGTTTACGTCGATGCGTTTTCTGTGCGTCCACTAAAACCAGCATCAAAACCCGCACTTATGGAAAAAGAGCGAACTCAACGAGCATGATATCCCCTCAGGTATAAGCTACCAATCCAGCAATGCGATTTTTTCACGTTTGTGGTAGAGGAATACGAAAAATGGTCTGTCTGCAGTGGAGTTCGCGACAATGGGACGCGAATATATGACAACGATCACTCCCGCCGCCGCAGCCGTTGTACCATTCTCGTTCACCTCCATTACCGCCTTGTGGATGATGTTGCTGACAAAGATGTTTCGCGACGTGATACCGCCGAACTCCGCCTGCACTTGGAAAATCCTCCGGATACCTAGGTTTTGCATGTGGGCGGGCAGCTCATAGCGACGCTCGATCTTGAAGGGCGGCATCAGTACACGGACTAGCCGCTGACTCAGTTGGCTGTATAACCGGGACACGTCCAGACCGTCCAGAGACTTCTGCAGCCTGGCAACGGCAGCCAGCGAGCGACTGTGCGGGCGCAGCACTAACAAACTGTAATCTTTGTTTTGGTACGGCAACGACACTACATCGAAGTGAGGTCGGCTGGTGTAACCAAGCTCCGCTTTCAACTTCATCATGTTTGTCGGCCGATCGCCGCGCGGTGTCAAAAACGGCTTCTGTCCGCCCTTGTCAAAGCGATAAAGCCAGGTGCCTTTGAAATACACGGCGCTGAAGAGCACCAGTACGGCGTTGCTGACGTCGGCACTTGTCACCAGGTCCTTGATGTGTCCGCGCGTTGCCACCGACGCCTGGTTGTTGATGACCTCAGCGGCCTTCCCGGCGTCTCTTGGTAGCACCTCCACCCCGGCTCCATAGTAGCGAGCTAAAAGGTCGCTGAAAGTGCGGCGCACACTGAAGCTGTGCTTGCGATAGATCCTGTTGTACACTGATGTCGTGACGCCATTGCTGGCTCCAGACAGGACCGCCAAGGCCGAGCGGTAGCCATGGAGGAACGATGTGTCTTTTGGGCCGGACATTCCCAGCACAGGCGTCATCTGGGTGCAGCACACAAGCAAACGTTGTCATATCTCTCCTCCGCATTTAATCAATAAAGATCACAGTGCGGTGAGTCACGCTGTATGTCCCGCGATAAGTTGACGCACGAGACCAGGTCTGGTGGCATATGCACAGGTTTCGGGCTGGCGCATGTGCCCGGGACTGGTGGCATCTGCACGGGTTCTCGGTTGGCATAAGTGCCAGAAGCTGGTGTTGTCTGCACTGGTTCCGGACTGGCACATGTGCCCGAAACCAGTGTAGATGGTAGGTCTTAATGAAAATCAGCCAACTGGGCTCTCACCTCGGCTCTAGTGGCACCTCTGGCGCCCAGCCAGACCCTGCGACATCAGCAGCGACATCAGGAACGGTGAGATCACGTGGTTGGCCACCGGACCCGACGTCACCTCCTTCAGCAGCTTCATGTCCAGGTCAGTGGGCACACAGGCGCCTCCCAGCGTGGCCAGCAGCAGGAGTGGCGCCAGCCAGGCGCCTGAAAAGGCGGGTCATCTCGAGTCTCATAGAAACCCACACAAGTCTCTTTTTTATGGGATCTCGGTAAATTCGCGAAGATTGGCACTACTACCAGTGTATGACGTTCTGGCGTGTTTCATGTAACATCACCTCTCGTCTGATTTGTTGCCGATCACTGTCACAAAGATCCTGAGTGCAAGAGATGCATGAATGCAGTCTCCTTCATGTAGATCAACTCAAATTTTAAGTTTTCTGTATGCGACGGTCTGTCTATTTCAAGCCTCAAAGTTAAGTCCTTCCCACTTCCCAATTGCTCGAATGTTCCGCACAGTAACATGTATCAACCCAACTTTCAACAGCATTTAAACTCGTAAGTGAAATGCAGCAATAAGAACGACTATTTTCATTTGGTTTTCAACTAGGTTGGGCGTGCGCAAAATCATTTTTATGACAAATGCGTTGAAGGTGGAGTCACGCCCTCTATATTTTTTAGTCCGTTTCCTTTTTTAAGAGCTTTCCGTCTACGCTGCACCAACTGTCCAAAACGCCGGCCTTATGTGGGATCATAAAATGCAAGACAGCAGTAGGGGTATATTAATCACGCCAGGTTTCTTAAACGGTGTTAAAACCAAGGACAAAGTGTATGGCCTACAATATTTCAGGTTTTGTTTCAGTTACTGGAGCTGAACAGTAAGCTGTTCATTGCATTCGCGAGGAACCTCCGCTAAATTCAAGATGAGTAGTATTTCGTGACCACATATTCATTTTATACGTGAATGATTTCAGCAGTCCGAGTGATAGAAACGAGCCAGCTCCAACAGACCCAGCTTATGTTGATCTGTACAATAGGAGTTTATGGCTGATGGTGGTTTGGTATTTATGGAAGATCCAGAAACTATCTATTTGCCCGTTACTGACACTCGAGCTCCGCTCGATCGGCGTCAACCAGCTCTCACCTGCATTGCGTCTCATGATGTCCGTGCAGTGTTGAGTGGGAGTAGAACAAACACTGTGACGTCAGATTGTAGTTGACGTCCGGTTTGGTTCACTTTAAGCAATGACGAGACGATGAAGCCAGGATCTGTGGGATGCGAGACGTAACGCAGTGAAACTTGGATGGATGGTGCTAACGCACTGAAACTTGGATCAGTAGCGTGGCTTTTCACCTTAAGTCGACAGGCTACTAACACTCTATCTCTCGAATTTTGACCTAATCTCATCTAAAAGGAAAAATGGTGACACTTTAAGCACGGTCCTACTTTCAGATTTTCCGGTATATCTCGTACAGCTTCTAAGTTGACAATGTTCATCTTCGGCGCTGTGCATGTTGTAGAAGACTGGTATGGTAAAAGAGCTATACATCACTTTAAATTTTGTGGTTTTAGATTACAGCGCAAATTGGTTTTGTATGTTGGATACAACTATTTCGGGACCTACGTTTAGATCGTGTTTGATCAATTCCACGGTAACGCATCATTTCTCAGTTACATTACCATTATCGTGTATGTCTGTTGAAACACAATTCGGTGCTTTTGGGCTCACGTCACATCAGTGCGGAAAGAACGCGCCTTCCGTGGGACTTTCTGCTTTGCCGCAGAAAGAATACGTGAGTGTTATCTAGCTTTTGCAGTATGATGATTTAAAATGTCTGAATGAGTGTCTGAAAATGTTTCGCAGTGTTACCGCATATACGCCCGTGACATTACATTGTTTGCTTACATTCACATGCTCGGGTATGCAGCTATTCTCAAGTTATTTGATCCCAGTCTTACATCTGTAATAAGTTGCGCCATTGCAGAACTTTCGGCATTATATGGCACAAATTGTAGCTGATGCTCGACACTTGCACTGAACACATTCCATTGGCTGAAGGCTAGAAATCCTGCTGATATGCACAAGACACGAATACCCTAATGATCAAATTTGTCTGGCCTTGAGCACCACATGACCAATGAGTATCCTTGGCACACCTACTAAAGTGTACAATAAGTACACCCCAGTATTTGGAAGCACACGGCGAAATGCTGAGGTGCCAGCATTTGGGTCATGTTCCCATGGTGTATGCATGTGCGGCCTTAAAACAGTGTGCACGAAAGAGTTTGCGCGAAATAGTCTGCACATATTCGCATGCGTCAAACTTAGAAACCAGAGGGTTTCTCAACAAGGACCTGGCTCAGAACGGCACTGAATGATCTGAATAATGGACATCTTAGTTCAAAATGCAAGGCAAAACAACGGTCTCGCATTACAAAGAACTTATGCCTTTTTTAATACGCGCTGGGGTCGAGGGCTTGAATTAATCCCCCGAAGGTTTTTCAGAACGGTTTCCGAACTGGGCGGCGCAGCCGCGCCAAATGTTGCATAGCTGTAGACTATTGAATAACGGATCGTTTGACATGATAAGCTTAGGTGTGCCTTGTAATGTTTCTGATCTATGGCAGGTCAAAGTCACTCCATAGGTTTTCGGCGGAGGCAATTTCTAGGGAATCGTCCAGACCGGTAAAATAACGGAGTGTTTGACGGAAGTCGTACATCTCTGAAATGATTTCTTGGGCACAACGATTATTACATGAGCAAATCGCGTTGACCTAAGGTCAGGTATGAAGGTCAGACCAAGGTCACAATCGATCTGATAAATTACCACAGGGCTTGCTGTATGGGATAGCCTGTGGTGCTCATGTCGAATTTATTGACAGCAGGAACCGCATTATACATTTTCCATTGATTTCTTAGAAGTCAGAAAAGGTCATCACCCTAAGATGATCCGGGTAGAAATTTTGTTTTATGAACAGACTGCCTAGCGTAATCTTTGTCGGTTATTCAAACCCCAAAGCTTAAAGCAGTCTTGTATAATTTTGGTCGCCATGACCTTCGAGAGGTCAAACAAGGCCACTGACATCAAATGGGCTATTGACCCTCTGCTTATAAACAGTTTTCTAGGTTCCGGGGGCACTTTGGTGACCGACCTGGAATTTGACCTTGTTTGACCTTATATGACCTGAAGGTCATGACCAAGCAAGCTCAAACTTTGGCCTAAGTGAGTTCATGTACAGGTCAAAACACCCTGCGATTTTGGTGTCTCTAACTTTCTTCATACCTGGGATATCTGGGGCGGGTTCCGACTGACCCTCCAGCCAGCCGAGCGAAGGGTATCTAGGCGGCCACCCGGGCGCGTGTGAAAAGGCGCGTGACGCCTTTATTTTTCAATTCTTGTTAAATCAGAGACGAACCATGTGAACATTAGTACCAGTTTTCTCTGAAAACTTCCTCGGAATACCACGAAGTTTTTGCTTTCTGCTCACAGAATGTCCATAAAACCATGGGTAGCTTCACTTTCATCGAAAGGGAGTTTTTAAAAGAACACGAAAGTGTGCCCCCGGTGAAGTCAATCGTCTTAATTATGAAAAAGCGTGTAGAGGCATTGATATGACGACAGCCTGATACTATGGTTTTCACTTTGTACACATGGTGTTTACTACAATGGTTCTTTTTGAAGCTGTGGGAAATGGAGCATCATATGGTCTATCATGAGGCACTGCTTTAAACTTCCACCACTGTTCTTCTCGGCAAATGACCCTTGCCGTCCGCTGTATCAATGACGTCATTCAGCAACAGCTGAGAGCGGCTCCCAGCATATTCCGCCGTCGTCATAACGACGCCTTTCGTGACTGTGGGGATGCAGCGTAGCGCTATTACAAAGCGTTGACATTGTTGATTGAACTCGAAAGTATTTAAAACCTATTACTTTTTGTGTCACAGAGGGATCGTTCCATATTTGTACGGAATTTTAGGCTCAAGGAGTCATCTTGACAAACATTCGGCGCAGTTCATAGCCCTGCCATTTTTAAGAACTACATAGTTTTAGTTTCTAAGCCACACGCCCGCGAAAATTGAGAGGGCATTTCGGGGAAGTATTTCCAGATCAACTTGGCATTCATGACGTCATTATAACGTCATTCACATCCTGCCATTTTGTAAGCCATGAGGCGACCAAGGCCAATGAAAATATTATGGTCGAATCGTTCATATCTGACGCTCGTGAGCCCGATTTCCAGATATAACTGTCGTCAATTGGCTCGCAATCAATGTTGTGTGTGATACGGTGACTCATTCAAGCAATGACGCATCAAGGAAAATTTTTACTTAATAGAGAAAATATTTTTTTAGAATAGTCTTTTTTACTTATAGGCTATACCAATAGCTATAAATGACATTATTTCACCATAAATGGTGATCATTTCAGCGTCCTCAAATGTCAACACATTTCCTTTCATAGTGCTGCACTGACACCATTCGCTGTTATCATTATACGTAGCTGGTGCCGAGGTTTCAATAGGGTATATTTTTGAAGTACGTCCCAGCGGTGAGACACTCACTTTAGGTTTTTCATTTCCCAGCCTTAGTTTCGTCATATTTTCTACCCGTGTCCAAATTTCTGCATTATGTAGCGCAAAACGTAGCTATTATGCGAAACTTGCACTCGACGCATTAAATTGGTCGAGGGCCAACTTATATCTTATATATCCGTTGATGTCAGTAATCGTTGTGACGTCCGCGAGACACTAATAATTCGGTGCGCATGTTTTCCTCGATCTTGATCACTACATGGCAATAAGAAAGCCGTATTCGTGCGTTATGGAGCTCTGAGTGGCCACAAAAATTAGGGTTAAGTTCGCGGGCGTCAAGCCAGAAAACAGGAGGGTTTTAAGTCTCAAAAAGGTATAGCTGTGAACGGCGTTGGATGATCTCTGTATTCCGTTAACAGGAAATATTGGACGGCCACATTAAGCTGCTTCTTGTTAAACGAATCATCGATAAATATTAAGAAGTGCGAGGCCGACCTCAAAATCCACTGTATCAA